TAATTGGTTAATTAACTAATTGATTGAAAATAAAAATAAAAAAAAAAATTGGCTGAAAATGAATATGATATTACTAATTGACTGAGAATATAAAAAGAAATAAATATTAATAGTTGACTGCAAATAAAAAAGATCCATAATTGACTAATATGAAAAAAAAAAAAGGTTAGATCATTGCATTTTAATTAAAATTGGAACCGAAACTAAAATTGAACGAAAATATGTCAATAATAATATTATACATCATAAATAGTGAATGTATATTTTAATCAATAGTAAAGGTAAATTAAAAATTGAACAGAAATACTTCAATAATAATATTATACATCATCAATTAAAAATGGAACAGAAATTAGGTAAAAATATCACTGCATATGATATTATAATTGACTAATTGACTAAAAATAAAAAAAATAATTGACTGAAAATGAATTGGATATTACTAATTTGACATAAAATATAAAAGGATCGTTAATTGACTAATATTTTACCATTATATATATTTCGCCCAAGCCACCCATCCTGATTAGAGCCGTCAAAACGGGTTTAGCCCGTCGGGCTTTTCCGTCCCACCCTGTTTTAAAAGCCCGTTTTAGAAACGGGTTTTTTTGGCCGCCAGCCCCCCCCCCCCCCCCTTCCTTCCTTTTTTTTTTTAGTCTAAATCCTAATTCCTAAAATAAAATAAAACTGAAACTAAAAACTAAAAGTCCCCTATGAATGATGTAATGGACTTATGAATTTATGAAATTATGTAGTTAATTAGTTATGTATGTTTTGTACTTTTGTGGAGTTTGAACTTTGAATGTTTGGTTTATGAACTTATGTAGTGTGGTGTATTGACTATTTGGATTCTATGGTGTCATTGTTGTCATGATGTGAGGGAACTAATTTGAGTTATTTACTTATTTTGAATGATTTGTGAACTTTTTACAACTATATATAATGTATGTTATAAACTTATAATATATTTCAATATTTGAGTAGTAGTTGTTTTTAGATGTATTAGATAAGTGATGGATAAGTGTTTTAAGTAGATAACAATTAAGCTATTAACATAGAACATTAGAGTTTATACTTTCGGGACACATGGTAAATAATTATTAAAAAAAAAACAAAAAAAAAAAAAAACAAAAACAAACTGGCGGGCTTTGGCGGGGCCCCGTGGGCCTCAGGGGAGGGGGGCGGGCTGCCCCTACCTAGGCCCGTATTATTGGCGGGCTTTTTAGCCCGCCCCACTAAAAGGCGGGCTTTGGCTGGCCCCGCCCCGCTAGCCCGCATTGACAACTCTAATCCTGATGGACTGAAGGTGTTAGCTCTAGGCGATGATGGACGAGATTGTGTTGTTACTACCAATGTCGTCTACAAAGAGGTTTCAAAAATGTGTAAATACAATCGTCGATATTATGTTTTTTTTAATGAAAAATTGTTATATATCTAGACAAAAAAATATATCTTCCATATAAATGAATTAAGATAGCAATTCATTCTTCTAACTGAGTTGCTAGAGAACGAGCACATTTGCCTAATTTATAAAAAATACTAAACAATGATAAATAAAATCTCCAAAGTTAGAGAACCACATGCATACATCTACACTTTAACTATAAATTTGAGCAATTTTTTGCTCAAATTCAAGCAATGATAACATCAAAACACACAAATGCTCCAAACCACATTTTCAATTGCATTATATAATACAGAGTATTTGATGTTCTAATTTAAATAATTATATATGGATCCAAATATTCTTAATATTACAACAAATCCATTCCGTGCATCGCACGGGCGGAAATACTAGTACATATCTACTATACTAATAATCTACTATACTAATAAGAGCCCAAGAGAGTTAGGCCTATAATGGGTAGAAAAAATGGCGGTCAAATTTTTTAATCGAATGAATGACTCAGATTGATCAGATTTAAATTTTTTCTTGAGATTTACTAATTTATTCTTAATGAATATGATTATTCGTTAACTTTTTTGTTAAATATTATCTTTTCCGTTAATTTTTGTTAGTTCACCGCTAACTATTTAACTTACTCATTGATTGATTTCAATAAGAAAGGTCTTAGGTTTGAACCACATCCCAATCAAAGTTGGCATAATTAGTACTCTATTTTCCTCTTATTAAATTAAATAATAATTTAGTAGGTACAACAAAAAATAATACATATGCATTTCTTTAATTTATAATTATGTGTCTACAATGTCTTTATTCATAAAAAATTATTCATTATCAATAAATTAAATAAAATAAATAAATTCATTAGTTATATTGTCTTTATTTTTCTCCAATATAAAAATTCTTTACATTCAAATTCATCAATTTATTATATTCGCTACATTGTCCCTACAATGTCTTTATTAAAAAAAATTATTCATTATCAATAAATTAATTAAGATAAGTAATTTTATTAGTTATATTGTCTTTATTTTTCTCCAATGTAAAAATTCTTTACATTCAAATTCATCAATTAATTATATTCACTACATTGTCTATTATCTTTTTTGTGCATTATTTTTTTAATTAAATATCAAAGTTATAATACAAAATAATGTTTTATATTTATTTACCAAGTATTTTATTAATAGCATGAAAAATATAATTAATAAAGTCAATCATATTGACTACTTGAGGGATTTGTTGACAAAGAGAGTATTCAAATCACACAACAAATTGAAGTAAAAACTATCTTGCAATGTCCTTGTTTGACAATCGGCAGTTAGCGGTTAGCGTTAGCGGATTATATTAGTGAATTTGACAAGCGAATTATATTAACGGTTGGTAAAAAGATATTTGAAAAAAATTAGCTGTTTAGATTAACATGTAAAATGACCTAAGGGTATACATATATTTAATAATAATAATAATAATAATAATAATAATAATAATAATAATAATAATAATAATAATAATAATAATAATAATAATAATTGTTTTTAAAAAATAAAAAATATATAATTAAGTCAATCATATTAACTACTTGGTGAATTTATTGACAAAAAGAGTATTCAAATCACACAACAAATTGAAGTGGGAAACTAACTCGCAATGTCCTTGTTTGGTAATCAGCACTTAACTCTTCAATATTAGTATATATTTAATATTTTATACCCTAATTTTTATTTGCTCTCCATTATGTCCCGTATTTGGTTTCAACCATACCTATACAATGATTTTATTGACAATTATAATCAATCTTGACTATATTATCTTGCATGTGTAAACTTAGAATTACCTATTTAAATACGCAAATTCAACATTCAAGTATTTATGCATGCAAAATTCTAATTTAATATTGCATTGATACACTTTAAAGTACTTATTTAAAAAAAAAAAAAAAAAATTGGGCATTATCCCAATCACGCAATAGGCGTAAAAAACTAGTTAATATTAATAAAAACTAAAGGTGTTACAGGAATTTTAAACATTTAGAAATAATATTTCATTAATAAATGCATATTAATAAAAATTAAAATAGTTATTATAGACTTTTGTAACGCCTATGACGGCCCATGGAACTTTGTTACGCATTTAAAAGGTTTGTTACATCACTTTAGAGCTTTCTAGCACTTGTACATAACATTTCATAGTTTGTAGAATAGTCTAGAGTCATGTACATAACAACTAGAGGTTGTATAGATGCTTAGAACATTCTAGAACCTTAGAGTTGTGTAGAGATTTTGAGAGGATTCTAGAGAGTAAATTCTAATTGTACGATTAAGAAGATCTCCACCATCCATTAAGTAGGTGAATGTGTATAAATACCCCTTAATTAAAGGCCTCATTTGTAACAATTCAACTTCTCAAGGAATCAAATTCCTTACCAAGCTTTCAAGTGTTTTTGCGAGATTGTCTAAAGATTAACTTATCAAGCCTTATAAAAAGTTTAGAAAAATTAACAAAGTATATATTCACTCATTTCTAAACTTTGCTCATTATGATGATAATAGTTGTACGTCATTTCTAAATAATGATATATTTTTATACATTAATTTTATTTGTATAAAAAAATAATAATAATTTTAAGTTAAAAAAATATAAATATGTTTGAAACTGTTATATATATATATATATATATATATATATATATATATCAGGTCCATAATATAACTCTTCATGTTTTTTCTTTGAGTGAAACCATATAATTGGATTAAAAGGTTTTATACAAGTAGACAAATAATACAAAGTACTTCAATCTTTTAGACGAAACCCCCACCAGTCCTCACCTTATTCGAATGTGAGGGCATTATTCGAATGTGAGGGCATTGTTTCTATCCCTGTGGACCGTCTCAAGTTCTTAAAGGACGACAGCTATGCGCGGCGGGTGGATTCTTACAAGCCTTTTGGTTCACAATGTTATGGAACGATCTTTTGATGAGGAGATGAGTGTTATTAGTGGCGTTAAGCCGGCTAGCAAGGCGTGTCTCGAGTTGCTAAAGACGTCTCTCCATTAAGTTAGGCGCCCGACGCCCGACTCAGCCGAGTTAGGCATTCAACTCGGCTGAATCGGCACTTAGGGTGTCTAGTTGGTTCAACTCGGCTGAATCGGCACTTAGGGTGTCTAGTTGGTCGCTCAACTCGGCTGAATCGGCGCCTAGGGTGCCTAGTTGGTCGCTCAACTCATAGAGTGCCTGGTTGACCAGTTAGTAGCCGCTAAGAGCTGAAACGGCCTTGACTTTAGGGGATGCTGGCGTGTATTAAAAATATATAATATAAAATTTAACATTAATTGTGGTTAATTAGTCAAAAATTCATTTCTATTGGAAGTGACAACAAGATAAAGCGTAATCAGTGTGTTGCAAAAATTATGTTTGGGTAATATTTAGAGATGGTGTTTCCCTCTAAAACTGATATTGTACCGGTTAATCAAACTGATAAATTTCTTAAAATATTTAATTTTATAAAAAAAAATATTGATAATATTTCAATGTATACAAAAATGGATAATATTTCAATGTATACAAAAATGATACTTTCAGAAATTTATTCGCAATGAAAACTAGCTAGTATATTATAAAAGAAAAAAGTTAGATAGTTGGCATCTTAAAGCGACAAATTGGACAACGATGACTGATTTGGAGCCACTGAAGGATGCATTCTCCATGAAACATGTGCGAACACGGCATATCAACAACTTCCTTTTCCTTGCACGAGAACAATTCGTCTTGGCACACCACGCAATTATGGTGGTCATCAATGTCCGCCTCGTCAAAATCCACTCTCTTTAGCAACTCGAGAGAGGCCTTGCTAGCCGGCTTCAATCCACTAACAACGCCCATCTCCACCTCTAAAGATCGCTCCATAACGTTGCGAACCAAAACGCTCTCGTAACAATAGTGATCCCGAACCACTTGCAAATCGATGAGCATGGTTCCCAAGTGTGGGTTAGCTTGGAGAAAGATGCGCGCGACTGAGACTATCCAAGCCGCCTCCAAATCCCAGGCGCGAAATTTGCTGTTGGAGACGAGAGAATCCACCAGCCGCAGTGCGTAGCTGTTGTCATTTAAGAACTCAAGACCGTCCACGAGGATGGAAACAATGCCCTCACATCCTTTCCTGGTTTTAATAAGGCAAGGAGTGTTGGGGGTTTCGTCTGGAAGATTGAAGTACCTGTGTACGGTTTGCCAGCAAAACTCAAAGGAAAGATAATGGCTGTCGGATTGGGATGATGATGACGATATTGGAGGGCACTTGTGTGGTCTCCATGGCTTCCCTAACTTGTATGATTTTAGCAGCGTGTGTTTATGGCACTGGAAGAAATTGTAGTCCATGGCGATCAATGGATGGAGAATTTCGATCTTCTGTATGTGGAGCGGATCATATCGGTGCCTTTAATAATTAAGTTGAATATAAATCCTCCGATCCCCTCGTCTTGTTTCCTAATTAAAATTATAGAAAAGGTAGCTAGAATTACGTTAGTATGATTATTTTAGGAATAAAATACCATGGAAGAAATTAAGTTCTTATTTCTTGTTCTAAAAGATTTGAGTTAATACCCAAAATCGTCCTCGACTATAGTGGTTTTTCTCAATTTCGTCCTAAACGACTTTGGTGACCTAATATCGTCCCAGACTTTTGTGTTTCGCTCAATTTAGTCCCAGACTTTTGTGTTTTTGCTCAATTTAGTCCCTCATTTGTTATTCTGTCCATTTGGTGTTAAATAAATAGACAATTCAGTAATTTTAATATTGGCATCTCTTTACTCATAGACATGTGAACTGCGAAATCCTTTTTTTTTTTACGAATTACACCCAGAATTACTCCTAAAACTGCGAATATAAAATTTGATTTGCAGGTCCGAGAGTAATTCTGGGTGTAAGTCGTACAAGAAAGAGGAATTTCGCACTTCACAAGTTGAAAGTAAAGAGAGATCAATATTGACATTACTGAATTGTCCCTTTATTTAACACCAATTTGACAAATAACAAATGGAGGACTAAATTGAGCGAAACACAAAAGTCTGGGACGATATTAGGTCACCAAAGTCGTTTAGGACGAAATTGAGAAAAACCACTATAGTCGAGGACGATTTTGGGTATTAACTCTAAAAGATTTGGTAGGATTATTTTAGGAATAAATTAAAATACCAAGTAAATTAATTAAGTTCAATTCTTACTTATTTGTTAATAAAAAATTAAGTGTTTACCTTTGAATCCAAAATAATTCCTTTCCTTTTGTAATAATTGGTAGAGTAGTTTGGTTGTGAAACAATAATGTAACATAATTGTTAAACATATAATATAACTAGTTGGATTAAAGTGTACTAAAACTCTCAATACAAAATATGGTTCAACTTAACTTGAATCAATTTAAGTATTAATGATATTTAATGAAGATTAATTAATATAATATTCATGGTTAGGGTAAGAATAATAGTGAAATATTATAAATTATTATTATATATGATTTTTTTTTTGTGGTTGGAATTGGTGCTTAATGAAAAAACAAATGGAATAGTGAAATATTATAAATTATCATTATATATGATTTTTTTGTTGTTGGAATTTGATCATGTTTTGATTTTCTTGTGGAATATAAACCAATTCAAATAAAATTTGGAGTTTGTATAAATCTTTGTATTTCTTGTGGAATATAAAATTTGATCATCTGCCTAATTGTATAAATCTTCGTATTTCTCCCTTGTATGCGCGACTTCGGACATCAGATTCACTTAATTGCTTAATCCCTAAATCCACTCGAAGAACAAAATTCCATTGATTAAACAATTAAGTGAATCTGATGTCCGAAGTCGCGTATACAAAGAAGAAATACGAAAAATTATACATTAGGCAAATGAAATGTTCCAAATTTTACCAAACACTTTCCAGCATAACAGCTAGTTTAAAAGCTCTTCAATTTTCAGCTCATAACTTTTCAACTTTCAGTTCATTTTCAGCTTTCAACTACATTTTCAGCTAGGTCTGACACGCTTTGGTTTTATTAAAAACAATTTAATAGATTAATTTAAATTGTACTAAATTTTGATATTAAATTTAAAAATTAACGTTAATAATCTATATCTATATATCTATATATAATTAAAAGTAAAATCCTCCTACCATTTTACCGCTCAAAGTAATTGTATTCATCAAATTATTTAATTATGATATACTATGTAATAATTAATGATGATAATAGAATATAGAAGAATATTTAATTATGGTCAAATTATTTAATTATAATACATTATGTTTTTAAAGTAGCAGAATATAGATGAATATTTAATTATGGTGATATTATTATTATGATTTGGAAGAAAGATGCTTGTTGTAATATAAATACATGTATTGGTTTCAAACTCAATCACCACCATATCGCAGTCTATTCGCATCAAATCTCAGCATTCTTTGTCATGAGATTTCTCCTTACAACATTAGGAGTGCAATGAAGGTTTGAGTGGTTCGTGAGTACAACGTTCTTGAAAGAAAAAACAGCATTATAATCAAGTCTAAAGAAATGGTCTTCCATGATTAAGCAGTATTTTTTTTTTTTTTTTGCATCTTATTCTTTTCATCAGATTTCTATTTTTTGTTTTAGTAAAATGCATCTTATATTATTCATTTACCCACAGGAAACTATTTTGGTATGGGACAAGGAATGACGGCCAAAGATTGGAAGGCCAAGTGTGCAGAGGTAAAATTTATATTTGTTCTAATGAACGGTTGGTTTATACAATACATTTATGTGGTGTTACAAAGACAATTATGCCTGGTTACAAGTTTTTTTTTTTTCTTTTTTGGGTGCCGGGTGGGTTGTGTGGTGACAATCTACTGATGTGATGCAGTAGATTTTCTGATTGTGGACAATTATGTCTGGTGGCATTTTTTTTAATCAATTTCTCTTAACTTTTTATCATATTTGTTAAAAAGTTTTTAATCTTGCAAGTGTAGACAGTGGCTCTTGAAAATCATATGAGTGGGGACGAATATTAAATGACGTTAGAAATGTCAATGAAAAAATATCAAACAATCATAATAAGGTTAAAATACAAAATACATTATAAATTACAATATATTGATGAGAAAATATGAAACATAATCAATTAGATAAAATAATTTGAATAACAATATATTTATAAATACTTTTAAATTTTAATTTTTTTTAGTTAGATCGATTTTTCTAAATTAATTCGAATACAATAAAGTATATTATAAACTTGTATACTACATTAATTAAATTATTTATAAAAACTAGACTAAAAGAGCAATTAATTTGTTAATTAAATGATTCATAAAAAGTAGACTAAAAATATTTAATTTATCTTATGAAGAAATGAAAGAGAGAAGATAATTAAAAGTGTTGCTAATGAGATTTGAACCTATGACATAAACCTTTTATAACATAAAATTTAAAGTTCAACAAATTAAGCTACTCAAACTATTAAAATTTTCAACATAAATATAAATTTTATATAATATTTAATGCTATATATGTATACATATACATACATATATATAAAAGGGTGGGTAGGGGGAGTGGGTGCAGCTGCCCCCACACTTGGTCCGCCCCTAAGTGTAGAAGTCTATATTTTAATATGATGTTAGTTATTGTTATTTTTCATTATCTTTTTCCAATTGCAAGTGTAGAATTCTGTAGTTCTATTATTTCTTACAAGGAGATAGTTAAACTCATAGATTATGAAGAAATAGATCTATATATACTAATTTTAGCCTTTATGGTGAACAAACCCCTATACAGAGTGTAAATACAATATCAAGTTTGTCTTTTGTTAACACATTTAATAAATTCATTAGTAAGTTTCTTAGTATTATAATGTAATCACTGTCTTATGTAGGTATATTCAATTCCATGTTGTTCTCTTATATGTGTAGTGTTTTATTCACTTGGTTATGTAAATATGTGAGACCAACTATGATCAATGAATAATATCATAGATACATTGTACATTGCCAATATTAGCATATATGATAGAATGTATAACAACAACAACAACAACAACAACAACAACAATAATAATAATAATAATAATAATAATAATAATAATAATAATAATAATAATAATAATAAGAGTAACACTTGTATGAGATTGTCTCACGAGTTTCGATCCGTGAGACGAATCGGATATTATTTAATTAATGGGGCAGGTCTTTAACCTCATTAATCAAAGATTCGACCCGTCTCACAAATTGAGACCCGTGGGACGAACTCACACAAGTTTTTGCCTAATAATAATAATAATAATAATAATAATAATAATAATAATAATAATAATAATAATAATAATAATAATAAGTGTAGACATTTATAGAATCTTATAAAATATTAGAGAATTCATATGATTCTATAAAATTTTAGGAAAATTTTTTGAGATATAATCATAGTCATACGATTAAAGAGATCTCCATCGTCCGTTGAGTAGGTGGAATAACTATAAATAACCTTATGAGGCTCATTTTGTAACAATTGAAGTAATCTATCCCAATAGTTGAAATTAGATCTGAGTCACCTATAAAGTACTTTCCGAGTCACCTACACAGATTTAATTAGTTAGTTATTAGTTTTGATGAGCAAATAAAATCAGGGAATTATTGTATTTTTTTATGAAATTAACAAAAAATTGTATCCGCTACACCCAAAGAATTTTCCAAATTCACACCAAAAATTACAAAACTAATAACTAATTAAACTTATCTTTTCAACAACAAATTCAAACCAATACTAATAACCATGAACACAAACATAACTATACATACTTCACAATTAATAATCAACAGAATATAATTATACTATCAACACAATAATAACAATCAACACATTTATAATTGAAATCAAGATTCAATTGTTTAACAAAACATTTATTTAATCAAATTAGTAAACATATTAATTAATTGATGTATTATAATTCAAGTATTCATTTAGTTGTATTTAATTTACTTACCTCTTCTAGAAAATGAACGCTTAGTAACAATCTCCACATGTATTGCAATACGTAGTATCCACATTCAGAACCTCCCGGTTGTTGTGGACACATACATTTGAATTAGTTCAAAAACATTCTAACTAGAGATTAAAACAACTAGAGAAAACATTCTATAATCATAATAAACTAGATGGCTATTTAGGTAAGCAGTTTATGCTCATGAGAATGTTTCTGTCTAAAATACTTTCAGCTTATATGGTTTTAGCTTATGTATTAGTAGTAATCATGTACCTTGCTGATTCAAGTACAAAATACTCGTAAGTTTAAAGTAAGACCTCATAGCTTTTCCATGTATCCATTTTCCTTGAGGCAAGAACTCCTTGGATTGAGAGTTCTAAATGAGAGAAGCATGCTGAACCATCAGACTCTTTCAGCTATATCGCAAAAAATAAAAATGAAAACTGCAATTATGGATTAACTTTGTACCTTGTGACCGAAGGCCTACCAAATAGATTATACTTCTTGGTTAATAATTCCACTATACATTCTAACTGCATCTTCAAATCTTCATTAAATTTTAGATGCGTGTTTATGCACAACAGTTCATAAATGAGCTAAAAAGTGATGAACATCCTACTATTTGGGAGTTCATGCCAGAGAGTCCCATGATAAACAGCAAATACCCTCTCTTAACCTTCTTTCTCTGAATTCCTTTGAATTTAATTTTGGAAGGAAGCAAACAACTATAAGTATATTACAGTAAACCACAGACCAATTAAGTACTCTAATTGAGAATGGATTGGCATAATGGAGTTTATTCTTGGACTAGAAAGTTTCAACCAAATGGAACCCCAAATCTAAATGTATAAAATAAATAGCTGATGTAGTCTAGGGATGGAAAGTCACTAAAGTAGTTGAGAGATCACTTTCCATGGATCAAACCCTTTCCCCTTCCAATAAAACTTCAATTAACAAACACAAACAGGAAGAATCTAATCTTCAACTTCAATTAAAGTCCCTCTTTATTTTTTTCCAGAAAAGAGAACAGTATGCTCGGATTTTATCAGCAAAAATCTAATCTTTATAGCTCTTTTAGCTGTCATAGTTTTGGATTATTCAAGAATAGGTGTTAGATCTAGAGGAATTCAAGTAGTACTCTGTCTGGGTTTCACAAAACCTTGAAGAAGATTCAAGAATCAGAGCGGATTGAAGAAGAGATTTAGTTTAAAGCATTGTACATTATCACAGAAAGGGAAAGAATAGGGTAGGAACAGCATGCATTGTGCATTTGCTTAGCTTCACTGTTCAAGAGAAGAAGAAGAAGAAACATGCTTTCCTGAAAGGAGAACTAAAGCTTGCACGAACTGCACACACAAGATGGATGGAGGTTCAGGAGAACCTAGCTACACCCTTGCAGTGTGCCAGATCAGAGTACCTTTATACCTATCCGCAATTCTATCATTTGGATCAAATTCTGATTATATTTACACAGAAATTATATATATATATATATATATATATATATATATATATATATATATATATAATCCACAATAATGACATTTGAGATACCTGACACAGTAAAACTTTACTATTTCCTTCCACGTTTTGACTCCATTAAGTAAGTCTGTATGAAACTGTTTCTTTACTTTCTTATACCCAGTTTTAAAACATAATAATTCTTCAACTTAGTTTTGAATAATCCTAAATTGCTTTTGTAAATGTTAAACATTTTACAAAATATAAACGTAAACAGAAAACAGTTTTATACGAAGCATAAAAACTGAATTAAACCCTAAAGATGACTAAAAAATGCATATAAACAGAAAATACATAGCATAGTGTAAAGAAAAAAAAAAACACTACTCTTAATCCGCTTAAAATCTATCTATTTAACCAATTTAAGCTTTACTTAACAACATTTATTGATTACCTCCTCAAACAGTGGCGGTTGGCGGCGAGGAGGCGCGCGGTTGGCGGCGAGGAGACGACGAGAGCCGGTTGAGCCGCGATGGACGGAGGCGGTAGCTGTGGACGGAGGCCGTGGCGTCAGCGGATGGAGGACGGAGGAGCCGATGTTCGTAGCTGTGTTCGTCGCGATTTGAGGGATTTGAGGATTTGGGGGAGATATTGGGGGGCCGGATATTGGGTCGAAAAAGAAAAAACAAAAACAAATTCGCGACGGTGCCGCGGATTCCATTTTTATTATTTTAATAATAAAATATCCGCGGCACCTATTTTTAGTTGGTGTCTCTGATTTTCTTATTATTATTTTAATAATATTATTTTTGAGGCATCTTTATCTAATTGGTGACGCGGAAAATTGTACAATTTCTTTTCTACAACAGCTTCATTATGTAGGTGACTCGTAAAGTGAGCGTCCATTTCAAATTCTGTACTAGTGAAATTTTAAGAAAATAAAAAAGAAATCACATTCATGCATGTAGAGTTAGAATGGATCCTTATCTGATGAATGAAAAACATTGTGATTGCATCTAGCTCCCTAACAAATAAGTGTCCATTAATAATCATTATAAGTCTTTACCATATACTGTAAGGGTCTGTTTGGTTCACAGAATAGGCTGGGAATGGCATAGCATTCCCAGTAACAGACTTATTATTTTGTTTGGTAACAATGTCTATTACTAGGAATAATGTTCCTAGTAATAGCCTATTACCTCAGATGAGGTAATAGATCTGAGGTAATAGCTATTACCAGGGCCCCCTGGTATTAACTTATTCCTGAGTACTCAAGAATAGAATATTTTTTTTTTTCAATTTTAACCTTATCTTTCTCGCCCTTTTATCTCCCTACGTATCATTCTACCCTTCCCCGATTCCTTCATCATCGATTCATTCATCATCAACATCAAGTAATACTTTCTGCCACATCAAATTAAAGCATCAAACAAAGGTAAATTTTCATAATTTTATTCTTTACAAATTAAATATATATATATATATATATATATATATATATATATATATATATATATATATATATATATATATATATATATATATATATATATATATGCACGCACTGCTGCGGCTGCGGAACCCTCCGCGCCGCAGCCGCAGCAGTTTTGTTTAATTTATTTATGTTTATTATAGAGTCACAAAGAAGCTGCCCCTTTTAGAACAAGAAGTTTTAGGTTTTATAATGAGTTATCTGCAATATATTCTAAAGATTGTGCAACTGGAAAAGATGCACAGACAGCAGATGACGTAGTTGAAGAAATATAAGATGAAGAACAGAATGATATAAGAGATAACACAGAAGATAGTGCATTTGTTGGTTTGGATGATATTGATTTAACGAGTACACAACCTGAGCCACAAAATGATGGTAGAAAAAGAAGCAATTCAAGTAAGAGAAAGAAGAGTCATGATGAAGCTATTGAGATATGTGCTGAGAATATGCTTAATGCTGCGAAGCTAATAAGCAATACAATGTCAGAGGTTGGTAAGAATCTGTCTGATGGTCTTCAATATGATCGTGATATGGATATGTTTCAGAAGCTTGAACGTGCATTAAAAGATGTTGATGGTTTGGCAAATGATGAAATAGACCCTGTTTCGTTTAAGCTCACTGATCATCCTAATAAAGTAGCTTTCTTTCTCAGTCTTGATCCTGATCGAAGACTACAATGGATCAGAAGATTCTTTGCTATCAATTAATCATTTTATGAACATTGTAACTTGCATTGGATTGTTTTGAGTATTTTGTTAAAAATAACATATGTTATGCATCTTTTGAATATTGTTAAATGTTCTTTACAAAAGTTTGTTATTTATATGACTATTTTGTTTTGAGTACTAATCACTTGATATGATGATGATGATGATGATGATGATGATGATGATATATAGTAGTTGTTGTAGTAGTAGTAGTAATAATAATAATAATAATAATAATAATAATAATAATAATAATAATAATAATAATCCTATATATAATAAAGCTATATGGTCTTGTGAAAATTAAATGTTGATAATCAACATTTAATTTTCACAAGACCATAATAATATTGTTAATTATAATAACAATAACAATAATAATAATAATAATAATTGCAATAATAATAATGATAATAATTTCCACTGACAGTTTTTAATATATATATATATATATATATAGGCGAGTTCAGGTGCGGCAGTGTCTTACGTTGCGGCGGTGCGGCAACACCAATAGTTCAACAAATATGCACCATCAGCGTTAGGAAAATATACCACAAAAATAGAGTAAACAGAGCCCCGCATCACCAAACACACAGCATTAGGTGTGAGTAAAAACACCATACAGTGTTCAAAAATACACCATTGGGGGTGGTAAGTTATATGGTGTATTTTTTTGGGTCTATTGTGTATTTTGTGATGTTTTATTGCATTTCATTGTGGTGTGTTTTTCTTACACTGTTGGTGCATATTGTTAACACTGTTGGGGTATTCTGGAATTCCGCCGCACCGCCGCACGTGAAGACCCCGCCGCATTTGAACTTTATTCTATATATATATATATATATATATATATATATATATATATATAAAATAAAGCTATATGATTTTGTGAAAATTAAATGGTGATAATCAACATTTAATTTTCACAAGACCATAATAATATTGTTAATTATAATGACAATAAAAATAATAATAATAATAATAATAATAATAATAATAATAATAATAATTACAATAATAATAATGATAATAATTTCCACTTACAGTTTTTAATATATATATATATATATATATATATATATATATATATATATGTGTGTGTGTGTGTGTGTGTGTGTGTGTGTGTGTGTGTGTGTATGTATATTTATATTTATTTATTTATTATATTTATTTATATTTCAATTTTTACTGGCAAATTATTGTGTGAACGATGGTCCACATAATTGTATGGATCATGAATATCAAATACATTTTTAATATATTAAAAATATATTATTTTTATATTGAAAGTACCTTACATACATATATAATGTACCCTTAGTATATTTAAAATATACTTTTTATTGCATGCAACCCCAAAGTTCATAAGTTTAAAATTAATATATGACATAGCTAGGCGGCCTAATATTTAAGATTGTTGATGTACATATTGAGGACTACGGAGACAAAGATGCGTTATTCGTGGATTCATCGGATACTATCCAACAACACTCTCCAACTTAATTGACGTGAAATAGGCTTAGTAACATTAAGATTATATTCTCGAATTATTAGTTCTCAACTTTTATTGATTACACACTTAATTCGATAGTATTTGGAAGAAAAAATCAATGTTTGAACTAAGATTGTGATTTTGGTCTTTAAAGGTCAATTGTATGTTGCTACATCTAGAGTTAGAAATCTCAAAGGTCTAAAAATTTTGATCCGTGGTGACTCTAAAATTGTAATTCAATTACTATTGTAGTTTACTAAGTTCTTAAAAATTTGTAATATTAAATACTATGTACTAAATTTTTAATATAGTTTAAGATTTGTAGTAATCACCCACCTTAAATATTATTTTAATTGTAAATATATTTATGTTCATAATTTTATCATAGAAATTTACTCATAATAATTATTAAATAACAAAAATTTTATATATGAATAAACCTCATATAGGGTATATTTTTATAACATATTTTCCGTGCATCGCACGGGACAAATTAATAATAATAATAATAATAATAGTTTTTGTACAAGGGCATTTATGTCTTTTAAACATATATTCTATTCCTATTCCTTAACCAACCAAACATTGGAATACAGTTCCCAATGTCTATTCCTTTAGCGAACCAAACAACAGAATACAATTTCTATTCTGTTCCTTACATATTCTATTCCTTACATATTCTATTCCCTATGGAATAACATTCCTATTCCCTCCAAATTCATTCCGTGAACCAAACGGCCGTAAATGAAGTAAATATGGAAATTCAAGGGATCATAAAATATGCTTTCTTTTCTAAAGGAAATTGGCAGAAAAAAAAACTGAAATTTGATCACACATACAGATACAAAGAAACCTATGTTAAAGCATAAATTCAACTAGAAGCTCAATTTTAACAGCAACCCAATTCCCACAAATGGGCGGCAAAAACAAATAATCGAAATTGGACGACCAAATGCAAAGCAAATCCAACCATTCAAAAACCTAATTCGCAGAGAAGAAAGTGAAACGAAGCAAACCCTACAAACCCTATGCATTACGAAGGGAGCAATGACTATGGATGCTACCTTTGATGGAGTGATATGATGGCCGCTGGTCACAGTTGCATTGATCGACGGTTGCACCATCACAGCAGCCGATTCGCAATAGCAAGTTGGTGGATGGTTCGCAGCAGTCGCCCAACTGCGGGAGTATTTGTCGTCAATCATAGCCACCAGTCGTTGGTTGTCCAACCGGAATAACCGGAGACCATGAGAGAAATCAGAAAAGCAGAGAGATTAATCAGGGATTTCATATTTATAATATAATTTTTTTTATTTTTTTTGAAATGAAAAAAAAAATTATATTATAAATATGAAATCCCTGATTAATCTCTCTACTTTTCTGATTATAAATTATATTACTAATTTTTTTTATTAGTAACTCGTCGTCCTGTGATTTCGATGCTCCAGTTATTTCTTCGAACAATTGCAATTTGGACTCTTTGGCGACTTGGTCCTTGAAATTCTGACCGGGAAGAAAACAGAACACGCTGGATATAATATATAGAAGGGGATAGTGGCCTTGTTTAGCAATCAGCGGTTAGCGGTTAGCGTTAGCGGATTGTGTTAGCGATTAACAAATAACGGATTAGATTAGCGGGTTTGACCAGCAGATTTTATCAGCGGTTTGTAAAAAAGACGTTTGGTAAAATTAACTATTTAGAATAGCGGTTAACATGTAAAATGACCCATAAGGCCACAAGGACATTAGTGTATTTTCTATTATTATTGGTAATCCTATCCTATATATAATAAAGCTATATGGTCTTGTGAAAATTGAATGTTGCATTTAATTTTCACAAGACCATATGACTTTAAGATGTTAAAGTCTTGTGAAAATTAAATGGGTTTTAAAATGTGAAAATTACTTTAAGATGTGAAAATTAAATGCAACATTTAATTTTCACATCTTGAAGCATGCATGCAACCCCAAAGTCCATAAGTTTGA